GACAGTACGTTATACTATTAAAAGACAGTACATTATACTATTAAAAGACAGTACGTTACACTATTAAAAGACAGTATATTACACTATTAAAAGACAGTGCATTACACTATTAAAAAGACAGTACATTACAATATTAAAAGACTCAGTACATTATACTATTAAAAGACACAGTACGTTACACTATTAAAAGACACAGTACGTTACACTATTAAAAAGACAATACATTACACTATTAAAAAGACAGTACATTGCATTATTAAAAAGACACAGTACATTGCATTATTAAAAAGACAGGAAATTACACTATTAAAAAGACAGTACATTATACTATTAAAAAGAGAGTAAATTACACTATTAAAAAGACAGTGCTGTCTTTTTAATAGTGTAATGTACTGTCTTTTTAATAGTGTAATGTACTGTCTTTTTAATAATGCAATGTACTGTCTTTTAATAGTGTAATGTACTGTCTTTTTAATAGTGTAATGTACTGTCTTTTTAATAGTGTAATGTACTGTCTTTTTAATAGTGTAATGTACTGTCTTTTTAATAGTGTAATGTACGTTACACTATTAAAAGACAGTACTATTGATAATATAGATCCATCAATTTTTTTGTGTGTTTAACAGTAAAAACAATAGGACAAAGGATCATAAATTCAAATTTTGGCAGCATAGGAGTCGTCTGAAGTTAAGACAGTATTACTTTTCAAACAAAGTGGTTGGCTTTTGGAATGAGCTGCCTTCAAGGGTGATGGAGGCAGAGAATTTAACTGAGTTTAAGAAAATATTGGATGAACACATGAGTAGCAAGCGGTGGTTATAGTTGGGAGCTAGAAGGGACATCCTTGATGGGCTAATAAGCTCCTTTTTGATAGAAACCGAGTTTCGATACCTGTGGTGGGCAGATAGCTCATTGCGGAGCTTTGTTCTTAACTTTAAACACACTAATGAAAAAATGTATAATTAACAAAAATGAGTTAAAAAATAAGAAACTATATATAAGTATATCTATATTTCAAAAAATAAGCTGTAACACAGAGTCATCTTGTGTTTAAAGTATAAATCTCATTTGAAAGATGACTAAACGAAGGACTGTCATTGGTCCATTTTAGTATCCGAATCGCTACGTAGTTTTCCGAAGATGACGCAGAGGTTAATGTCTGTAAATGCAGAGATCGCTGTTTTAGCTCGATAAAGATTGTACAGGAAGCTAGATATGTAGGTGTTATAACCTAGATTTTGATATGATTTGCGCTTCCATGGATACTTTAATGCACAAATCAAAGTTAGGTTTGTTTCAAATATAATTTTGTTTTACTGGGGAATATTTTATGGGAAACGCAAAGAAAATTTCATATGTGATTTGGACCAGCGTGATTGTGATACTTTAGCTACGTGATATCGACGACAAATTGTAGTACTACTAGTAGGCTTAAGTACAGATAAGTTTACTACTATACTGATCCAGTAACACAGATCTGAATTTTTTTGTCTGTGTGTGTGCTGGCTTAATATTAGGATGTGGTGATAATTAACTGTGAGCATTTTAGATATAAACTGAAAAATAAAAAAATACTGAAAGATAATGAGTGGAAGGCTGAGAACTACATCGTCATCGTTTGCTGAAGCCAGTGAAGGTAACAAATGCCAGCAGCAACAGCCAAGTTTTTCAGGAGTTAAAATAAGCAGTAAGTTTAATAGTAATAATTAAAATTAAACTAGCTAAACCTGCCATAAGTCTATCGCTTTTAGAATAGAAGTGACTTAGAGTATTAACAGTCTTAATCATGAATTATTATGTGTTACTATGCAATTTGCAGCATTCGTCAAAGTTGGTTACCATCAACATCACTGTAACTTGTAAATTTAACACACACAATATATATATACATGTATATATTTATATATTTGCATTTTGGTAGTCTCCCACTGCTTGGATTAGTATACTTGATCATGATACAATGCCGTAATCAGTATTACTGTTAGTTAATTCAGTAATACACAACTTACAACATTAACTGTGACTATTACTAGTGTTAGTATTACTATTGGTATTATTTTGAGGAAGACATTTTCACTTTCTTATTTATGTATAATAAATCACAGTATCAAATGTGTAAAAGTATTATTAGCAAGAAAGACATTGCAGAAATAAACTTTATTCCCAGTTTAAAAGACAAATTTGAAAGATTACACCCCACTATTTAAAGGTTCTTAAGCTGGTTAGACGTATAAATCATGTAAAACTAGGAATAATTGTAGCAGAGGAAATAAGTAAGATATTTAATATAATATATATAAAAAGATTAATTGAGTGTAGTATCTCAGTGTAGTAAGAAATGGTGAAATAAAAATACTTTAAGGTTTTTGAGATATGGTAAAATTAATTCTGAGAACTATTTAATATGTCAAGGTCACTCTTTTATTGACAAACAATTATAAAAGATCACTAACTTGATAAAGCCACTCCATTTGCTATGGTCACAATTATATTTACTTCAACATGTAGGCCAGAGGTTTTATGTATAAGTGTAAGAGTGGTGACTGGTGAGATGCTGGAAGGTTGAGGAATTTTTAATGTCACACTGATTTTTAAGGGAGGTAGACAGCATTCAAGTAATTATGAGTTAAATAGTCTTATTTCATGGTAGGGAAATTATTAGAGCCTTTAATGAAAGAAATTCTACAAGAGCATTAAGACAGATTTTATATTATCATAGATAGTTAGCATGGATATAGAAAAGAAAGATGTCTTACAAATTTGCTAACTTTCTTTGAAAATGTAATGATTAATATAGATATAGGTAATGTTGTGGATTTGTAATCAGAATATATCAGCAGATAAATTAGTTAAAATTGATTGAGAGTGGTTAGGTTATAGAAGGGAAATTTTAGGATTTTTTCTGCTTCATGCACTGGTTCAAATAGAAAAAGAGTATATATATTTTTGAATGCAGTTTTTGATGCTAATTACAGAAATATAAATTAAAATTTGGAGAAATGAAAAGAAATATTTTTTTATTTTGCTAGATTAGATCAGTTTATCAGAGTTTAGATCAAGTTAGACTAATTAGTAAGTAATTACATGTTTATTTAAATAAAAACTAAATTTCATTAAAAATTCTTAAAAAAATGAAAATATTTTTCCATTTCTTCCACTTTAAAAATGAATTCTCAAAATTTTAATTTATATTTCTGAAATCTGCAGCAAATTTAAAATACTTGGAATGTGGCTAAGATGTAACAAGCGAGATTGTGGACCAATCGTAACATGATTGACTTATGTCTCTGTGAGTTTGTTTGGTGTTGTAGGTATGAAAATTATTATCTCTGCAAGCAAATATTTAAGAATATTTCTGAATTTTCTCATTGAATTTGTTACATTGTCATTAGATACTTTGTATTGTCTTGATGTCTCACAGTTCTTTTAAATACATTGTTTCATAAGCAAAATATATAATATAAAAAGTATTTCTTTTTCATTTGTCCAAATTTTAATTTATGTTTCTGAAATCAGCATTAAAAACTACGTTCGAAAATATATATATATATATCTATTTGAATGTGGTGAATGAAATAGATAAAATCCAGATTTTAGTTGTAAACATAGAAATATTGAGTACAAGTCAAAAAGAGGTCATTGATTCAATCGATAAGATGCTTGTTGACCTCATAACATATGTACAACAGAGAACATTTGATCCTTCATGGTTACCCATGTTTTAGGAAAGTAAATATTCTTTATTCTTTAAAAAATCATTAGTTCTTTTCTTAAAATGTTGTAAAGTGCTGATCTCTGTTATTGACAATGATAATTCATATTATGAGCTAGTAACCATTTTAGAAAAATACAACTTTCTTAACTGATGCTTTCCTTGTCTTTATTAAATCTTTAACTTGTGTTCTCTTATTATCTTTGGAATACAAGACAAAGAAATCGGAAACCTTTATTCCTTAATAATATCACCTCTTACCTTTCTTTTTTTTGATAGAAAATAAGTTGAGATCTAAATCTATCTTTATAAGATAAATTTCCATCCATGAAATCATCCTAGTAACCCTCCTTTGATGACTGGCTTCTTCTTGCCTGCCACTTGGCAAAACTTCACACTCAAGCTCTTTTATCCGAAGCTGGGAGAGCTGGTTTTCTCATGAAAATGGAGAAGTCTGTTCTTACTCCCACACAGTACCTCTTCCTTTTAGGGATGTTTTTAAATTCCTGCTTTGGTTGAGTCCAACCTTCTCTTCTACATCTTCAGACCATGGAATGGGCCATTCTTCTAATACATTTGTCTTCTTCTTTTGGTCATGTGGGTATTCTTGGAATCAGTCATTTCTTTAGGTCAGGCCCACATGCACTCCTTTCAGTTGTCATTACAGGACCAACCAATTGAACATTTCCACAGATGTGCTGGATTTTCCAGTGACCCTATCAGCTTCCAGCCTGCTCAGTCTCCGCTGGTGGTTGGACAGGGACAACACAACAGTAGGTGTCCCTCTCCCACCCCACATCCAGAGATACATCTTTTCACACTTGTTTCATTCCAGGGATTAGGTGCTTGTATTGGGGATATAAAATTCAAGGGCCCTGAACAAAAGAGGAATTTTCTCTCCATATGAATCTCTAAGCAAGGGGGCACTCACTCCAAGTCTCTCTGTTTTCAAACATTGGATCTTCTCTTTTGGGCCCACAATCATCAGATTGTTCTCCTTGCTTGTCTTGTTCCAGGTGTAATGAATTTAGTGGCCGATCAGTTATCTTGTTCCAGCAGAATTCTTCTCATGGAATGGCTGATTCATCCACAAGTTTTTGTTAGTCTGCTTTCATCTCAGGACACCTTGGATCAATGCTTTCTGACACACACTGGAATGCCCAGCTCCCATCCTTCTGGTCTCCTGTACCTCACCCTCTGGCTTTGGGCATAGATGCTCTAAGCCAGAATTGGATGGGTCTTCATCTTTACACATTCCCTCCATTTCATCTGTTATCCAAAGTTCTTGTGCCGATTCACTCCTTATCCTTTTGAGTTCTTCTGGTGGTGCTACATTGGCTGGCACAGCCTTTGTTTCCATTCCTTCAATATAATCAGGTGCCCCAAACTCTTCCTCTTTGGCCATCTCTGTTATGTCAGACATTTTTGATCCAGTAATCCCCATTCTCTGCCTTCACGCCTTGCTTTTATGTAGTTCTTTGCATGATGTCAGGGATTGACCTCTCTGGTGGCATCTTTATTAACACATTTCATTCAGCATTCTTCTTCAGAACAGAAATAGTTTACTTATCATCAGTGGTCTTTCAGACATGGTTATTCAACAAAGGTTCAAAACCTTCATCCATTTCTCTGTATAAGGCAGCTTTGTCAGCTACTTTTTGTTTTCGAGTCCCAAGTTTTGTCCTTTCTTCTGAAATCTTTTCAGGTTATCCATCCTCGATGTCCTTTCCAGGTTCCTAATTGGGATATCACAGTGGTTCTCCATGTCATATCTTGTCCACCCTTTGAACCTTTGGCATCATGTTTCCTATATCACCTTTCTCTTAAGACATATTTTCTTCTTTTGTTGGCTATTCATCCACTGTAGGAGATTGTGCAGGCTAGTATGTGGACCACACCTAATAGATTTATATCTCATAGTTTACATAATTTGGTGGTTGCAACATTCTATAACATTCAGGGTGGGATCCAATTTTCATAACAAAGGAATGAAAATATAACCACACTACAGTTCTCATGCCCTAGCCACTATGCCTTGGATCTAGCTTTGGGCCCACAGCTTTATAATTCCAACAACAACATAATATGGGACCTCATCTTCCTAGTTGGGGCCTGGACATGAGTTATGTACTGTATGTACATGGGGGATCTATACATTGGCTGGCTGACCGACTGTGACTGGTATTACAGGAGTGGGCTAGTTCTGTTAAAGTTGTCCCTCAATTCATCTTCTCATGATGTGAGGGTTTTGCTTCTGTGGCCAGTTGGTATTCAATTTCATGTTGTCTGGACGAAAAGCATGCTTGTTCCACTTGTGTGCTATTACTATCTCATTTTTGCACACCTCTTTTATTACACAGATGATTTCTGTGTGGATCTTGCCCTCACTGGTCCCTCCACCTTGTCAATGTGGGATTCTAGCTATAGTGTGAGCAGAAGTAAATGTGTTTAGAAATTAACGTTTTCCTATACTAAAATGTATATGTGATAATATTTACCTCCTCTCCTGCTCTTCCTCCCCATGATGGCCAGTGTTTGGGTCTGCCTATACTTAGATTGGCAGAAAAGAGTAACTTTCATTGGGATAAAGCTATAGTGTGAGAGGAGGTAAGTATTATTGGAAATACATTTTTGGTATAGGAAAATGATAACTTATGATACTATTATAGTTTCACATTGACTATCACAATTAAGTAATTTATATACTGCTATTTCAAAATAATTGGTATGGTCAGTGTTCTCCAATTGTTATGAAGTTTCAGTAATTATTGATATATCATATGATTCCACTTCAAGAGACCTGAAATCATATTTTTATTCCCTGATACTCCTGACTAGGGTAGTACATTGTTTGGGGTGCAGACTGATGTCAAAGATTGTGCACACAAGTTTTTTAACATACATTGATAGGGCAGTTAGGTGGAAATGACTTTAAACATGAACAAGATGTTGGTGATAATACTCAATAAATTAAT